CTGCAGCCTTTGGCCCTGTCCCTTACCTTCTTCATGCTGTGTTTTCTAGGTTTCTGTGACACTGTTCTTTCTTGGTTCTCCTGCCCATCTGACCCTTCCTCAGTCTGCTTTGCTATATCCACAGGTCATTCATCCAGGTCAGAACTTAACTGTGGGCCTTGTCCTGAGCCCTCTTCTCCCTCACTTTGTGATCTCAGCTCCCATGAATTCAGTTATCTCTTTCAGATGATTCTCAGATGTACTTGTCCAGTCCTAACCTTACTCTTAATCTCCAGTCTCACATCTGCAACTGCCTATCCTACATCTTGAACTGAATGTCCCATGGACATCTTAAACTCGGCCTGTCCAGAACTAAACTCATTCTCTTTTCCCCCCTTCCTAACTTCCCTATTGAGGCCAAACAGTCCTTCCAGTGCCCTAGGATCGTAACCTAGATGGGACCTTTCACTCCACACTCCTAGCCCCATGTCTGATTTGTTGCCAAAGCTGTGGATTGCACTTCTAGCATCTCTCATCAACTCCCCCTCTTCTCCTCTGACACGGACCCACCCTGGTGCGTCCCTGGAGCATCCAGTCTGTCCCTGCTCCCGTCCACCTCCATTCAGCCTTCAAAGTGACTTTCCTAAAGTGCAGCTCTGACCATGTCACCCCGCCCCACCTCCAAAACTCCAGCAACTTTCTGTTGCCTTGAGGATCAGATACGGAATCCTCCATTGGGCTTTTAAAGCTCCATATAATCCGGACCTACTTTTATAACTACCTTGTTCTCCTCCATGTACTAGGAGATCCAGTGACTTGGCTTTGCTGTTCCTCACCAAGATGCTCCATCTCCTCACTGCGTTCTCACTGGCTATCCATCCCCACCCCACCCCCGTTCTTGGAATTCTGTCCCTTCTCATCTCCATCGCCTTCCCTTGCTTCCTTCAAGACCCAGCTAAAATCCCACCTTTCCTATAAGCTTTTCCCAATTCCTCCTTAATGCTAGTGGCTGCCCTCTGTTGATTATCTCCAACTTACTCTGAGTTCAAATCCAACCTCAGATATCTGCTAGCTGTGTGACCTTGGGCAAGTCACTTCACCCTGTTTGTCTCAGTTCCTCATCTGTAAAACGAGCTGGAGAAGGAGATGGCCAACCCCTCCAGCGTCTTTGCCAAGAAAACCCCCCACGGGGTCATGGAGAGTTGGACACAATGAGGCGACTGAACTATCCCAACAGTCCTGTCTGTATTCGGTTTGTGTATAGTTGTCTGCATGCTTTCTCCGTTAGACGGTGAGCTCCTTGAGGGCAGGCATTCATGTTTTTGCCTTTGTACCCCGCTGCTTAGCACACTGCCTGGCGCATACAAGGTGCTTAATAAATGCTTGTTGACTGGCTGCTGTTGTCTCCTTCCTGCGGATGGTGAGAGGAGGTGAAATATCAGGGCTCGGATTCACAAGAGTCTTGGAATTTCAGATTGGGTTGGCTAGACCCTTGGTTTAACACGGATGCACCGGGCTTTGCCTCGAGGGTGCAGGACTGCTCTGAAGCCAGCCCTCCTTCCTCTTATTTCCCTGCAGGCTGCACTTCTCTGGGGGACAGCTCCACCATTCCCGTGCTGATCTGCTGTCTCCCCCGTTAGAATACGAGCTTCCTGAGAGCAGAGACTTTCTCTTTGCTTGTATGTGTTTTCCCAGCGTTTTAGCATGTGCCTTGCACATAGTAGGTGCTAAATAAATATTCCTTGCCTGCTTTGGCCATCTAGACCCACTGTTGGAGCCTGGGGAGTATGGAATTAGGCCAGAGACGGAGCGTCGAGTGTGGAGAATGGCGCATTGGCCAGCCTGGCAGGACTGTAGTATGCATGCAGGGGGCTTATGTGTAAGAAGGCTAGAAATATGGGAAGGGACCAATGTGCAAAATCCGAAGTGCCCACCAGTGGACTTAACATACATTTGATCCTGGGGTGAAAGGTGCCATGGAGTTGATACAGGTGAGGAAATTGAGGCAAACAGGGTGAAGTGACTTGTCCAGGGTCACACAGCTAGGAAGTGTCTGAGATTAAACTCGGGAAGATGAGTGTTCCTGACCCAGGTCTGGAGCTCTGCGCACCATGGCGCCCCCTAGTTGGCCTTCGTCCCATCTCTATAGTCTCTCTCTGAATACTGGTCTCCTCGCTGTTGCTGACAGTCCACCTCCCATGTCCAGGCCTTTGTCCTGGATGTGCCCTGTGCCTGGAATGCCCTAACTTCCTTCAAGGATCTGCTGCCCGTCACTTGGTATCTTTTCTGCGTCTTTATGCATGTGCACTTCTGTCCTCCTCTCCCTCGCTTTGGGGGTCAACTGAAGAAGGGCAGATGCATGTACCATGCCTATGCATACAGCAGGCGCCTAATAAATGCTTGTTGCTCAATCCCAGGCTGGGAAGCCTGCCCCGCACTGGGTCCTGGGCACAGCGTCCATATCCTGCTCAGGCCATGGCTGCCAGCACAGACAAACAATGCTCCGGGATCCTAAAGCGCTGCCTTTCCCAGAGGCACGTTGCACGCCTCCCGGACCTGACCAATGGGAGCATCCGCTTGCCTCGGGGGCGTGGCCACTACCCAGTGGCAAGAGCAGACTGCGCATATGCGGCCGCAGCATCCTTTCTCCTCTTGTTTGGCGGAAGTTCCCGGACTCCTGCGCCACCGACTCCGCCCCAGTTCCGCCCCCGGCCTTGGCTGTGGCCTCCACTCGCTCCTGCCCGGGAATTCAGGACTAGGCCTAGGCCCAGCGGCATTGCTGCTGGAGGACAGAGCCAGAGCCCCAGACGCCCCATGCGCGCGTTGCCCCCTCCCTTCGGGCTGAGACGGAAATGACGCCTTCGGTGAGCCGGAACCCCGCCCGGAGTTAGGGATTCCTTCTCCAGGCTTTCTGGGAAATGTATTCCCGAGGCCCAGGCATGCATGTGCGCATGCCCGGAGCCGGCTGCCGAGGAGGGCTTTGCACCTGCCTTGCTGGGTTTAGGGGAGAAGTTTGCGGAGGCTCTCCGCAAGGGAGGAGAGGGTGAAGGGTTAATTATAAAAAATTTGTAAAAATAAAGGAGCTTCGTCCAAGTGGACTGCGAGCACGCGAAAAGGAGGAGGCTGTGGTCGAGGGGTGGGAGCAGAGGGACCTGGAGGAGAAGACTACCCCTCCGCCACCCCCGCTAGGCCCCTCTGCCCCAACCCCTTGAGCTTGAAAGTAATGAATAAGGAGGGCACTTCTCCATTGTCTGGGTGACTCCGAGCAACTAAGGGACGGGAAGAGAATTTTCAAATGACATCGCCCAGTCTGAGGGTATCCGGGAGAGGGGATGGTCCGGTCAGGGTCCAGGAGCAGAGCGGTTACCACGGCGGGGCAGACCCGGTCCGAAAGGAGGGAGATGAGAGAGGCTCGCCTCCTGCTCGGGGGGGGGGGGCTGGATGTGAAATACACACACGCACACGCAGGCAGAATGTGGCTGGGGATGTTGCTTCTGCATATCCCTCAATCAGAGGTTGGGTGCCTGCGTGATAGCATCGGAGTCAGTTGGAGTCACCGTGGGAGGGAATGTGAGAAATGGTTTTTTATTTCCACGAAAGTCAAGTGGAAACCTGAGAGAATGCAGTCTGGGGGGGGGGGGAAGGTGGAAGTTGAACAAAGAGTTATATTAGAATAAGAAAACACTCTTGGTGGTGAATAAATGGTGAGAAATAAAAGAGAGTTAAGTTTCCACATAAGCAGATAAGAAATCAGCACAGACAGGCTAACTTCTCCACCCAGGGGGGAGTTACAACACAATTCTAGGCACAAAATGTATGTTAAGGGGTAGGGATCACATGTATATAAAATATATGAACAGGGCGTATCAGGAAGATTGTAACCTAGAAGGATTAGGACCAATCCTGATCTAGAAGGGAGGAGTTAGGCAATTACTAGCTATAAAGCTTGTTCTGGCTTCTATGACTGGGCGCACCCTCCCTTTCAAAGGAGGCGTGCCTGCTCTTCTTGAGAATCCAAAGGACGCACTTCAACCTCTTTAATAAAAAGTCTTTGAGACACCAGTCTTTAGAACTGAGTCTGGGGTCTTCTTTATAACATAGACTAAGGGGAGAAACCAGTTCTAAGGTTAGGTATAGATTAACATCAAAAGGGCCAGGTTGCTGAATTGTGGGGGTGGAGACTCACGGAGGGAAATTAGGCACTTTGGATAGGCTCTATAGTAACCTCTATAGTACTGAGCTGATGGGGAAACAGAGGGAAATTCGAATGGAGAATGGTGAGGTTTAGGGGTGCTGGGACCCCGAGATCAGGACACGAAGATCCTACCCAAGCTTTCTTTCAGGCAAAGACAAAGTTTATTAAAGTTCCGCCATGTTAGCCAGACTCTTAAAGAATCTGAGCATCTGTGAGCTATAGGCTAGATTGCAAAAATCTGAGCACCTTAATAGAGACAAGATGGACCTTATATACATAAAGACTATGGGGAGGGAGTGGCCAAGTAGTTGGCAGGGACAGTGAGGTAATAGAATGCCAGGGACCTGGACCACGTGGCCAAGGGAGAAAGGAGCCTAGCTAGGATTAAGGGTGGGAAGTGGGCGGGGAGGGGGGGCAGCTTCAGGAGGTAAGACAATGGAGGGCTAGACTAAATTAAAGGTAACAGAGAATTGGGAGATTGGGTGTAGCTACACTGAAAAGCCAGTTGATGGGATTATAGCCTCCGGTGAATGCCAGAGATTTGGCCACGTGGGAAAGTACAGGGTTTTTCTTTTTGGGGGGTCTAGATCCACATTCAGAGAATAGTGAATCAAAATGTGTGCATTTGTCCATACATATTCTGTCACAGTCGGCAGGCCCAGCCTTCCCAGGTTGTTAATAAAGCTTCTTCCTGATTCAACAATGGCTTCATGGAATTCGGGATATAGATAACACACACACACACACATACACATACACTCTCTCTCTCTCTCTCTCTCTCTCTCTCTCTCTCTCTCTCTCTCTCTCTCTCTCGTGTTTCTGACCGTTTGCCACATTGCAGCTGTGGAGTGAAGCCTTTGTTTTTTAGGTTAAGCGGGGTTTTGTTTGTTTTGCAGTATGGGGGGGGAAGATGGACAAATTAATTTTTAAAGGCTGTTTTTTAAAAAATGAAAGGTAGTTTACGTTGATACAGTGTAGACTTAAAGTAGATTTAAAATCAGTAAGAAATGTAGCAAGATGCTTGAAAGTGGTAACTTTTAAGTGCCACTGTGCAACTAATGTGGGTTGTAGATGAGCGGCTTGCATTTCTGGTTGCCTAACTGCAGGGAGATAGAACCAGTGACTTCACTTAAACAGGGATTAATAAAAAGCCCCAACAGTGGTCGACAAGGAGTAGCATCAGAAAACAAACCCCAGATTGCAGAAACACAGGCAGCAGTTTAAAAGCGAACATTTTATACCTCATTGAGTTACTAGAGGTCAGAGGCTTGGCATGTCTTTAGACTGAATTTCATCTAAATAAGTCTAGGATCATTTGATTAGTTAGCAAGCCTTTGTGAGGCACTTACTAGGTACCTGGGATCGAGCAACATGCTTGCAATGTAAAATAAGCAAAAAGAAGGCCAGTCCCTGTCTCCAAAGAACTTCTAGTCTAATAGGGAAGGCAATACATGAAAGATGAGAGGAGCATGTTGGAGAAGACCAGAAAAGTGCAGCCTGGGAAATGAAAAGATGGTCAGCCTGGTGTCCTCCTAAAATGGAGGTCCAATCAGAACTGGGAGATGGATGAGGTGTGAGGGCCAGGCCTGCAGTGATCTTCCAGGATGAAGAGGTTCTTGTGGCATAATCCAGTAGTCCAGAGGAGGGCAACCAGGTAGGAAATGCGGAGAGGGTCATGCAGTAACTCTGAAGAGGTCCAATTTGGCTTACTTCTCTTTAGTCTGTGACAGCTGCAAAGTTTCGAGTTTGTACACAATTGCTCCAAGTTCCTAGACCCAGGCAGAAGGGGGACTTTCTGCTTAACTTTACAACAGCAGATTACATATTATAGATACGTCCAATTTATCCTGTAAGTGGATTCACATAATTGTTTTAATATTGTCCCCCTCATTAGACGGTGACCTCCTGGGGAGCAGGGACCATGTTTGCCTTCCCTAGTCCTTAGCCCAATGTAGTCACTTCAAAAGTGCTTCTTGATCAGCTGGGATGAGAAGCTGGAAAAAGAGCCAGCCACTTTGAGGAGCTTCCTTCAGCTTTGATCCTCTATAATACCCATGGAGACAAGGACTTGTCTTGGTATCTCCTTTTTCTGCCACAGCTTTGAGGTGTGCACTCCAACCTTTCAAATCCAAATGATGGGAATCTCTTCTAATTCTGAGATAGGTCCTCCCTTTTATACCAGACACTTAGGGCTGGACCCAGTCACATTAGCTTTGATCTCACAGAGGTACATATAGGTCCTGCTCACATTCAGTTCTGCTTTTTCTTAATAAAATCTAAAAATGTTTTCCCTGTCAAGGCACTAGAGCTAATATCCTTATGAATTTAGAAAACTAGTTGGAATCATGTAGTAATTCTTGGAGACAATTATTTTTCACGACACGATCATTTTTCATGATAGCAATGGCCAGTGCTGCACCTTCCAGCTGCCTCTGAAGGCGCTGGACAGAGCCCAGAGGACGCCCCGCCCACCATGGGGCGGCAAGTGAGCAGAACCACATTTCCCAGAAGGCAGCGCAGCAGGCGGTCGGGGCTGGGCTCCAGCCCTGGCTCAGAGGGTGGCGTCGCTTCCACAGCCTCCGCTCCGCTCCGCCCCGCCCTGAGTCACTCAGGGTCCCAGCCACCGCCCCCTGGTCGGGGTGAGTGGGCCCGGGGTGGGGCGGAGACATGGAGGGGGCTGGGGCCTTGACGCCAGGCTCAGGCTCCGGTCAGGGTGGGGCCGCTTACCTGCCGGAGAGGGTGGGCATGCGCAGTGCCAACCTGCCCCATACCCGGCTGCGTCTCTTGCGCATGCGCGCTCTGTCCTCCTGAGCCCATTGGGGTTCCCCAGGACCCCCCAACTCTGTCCACACTGTCCTGGGGCCCCAGGGCCCATGGCGCGCCCCTGGAGCCTCGGGGAAGCCCCTGCGGCCCTGTGTGGCCCCCTTCTCCCTTCTCCAGGACACCCAGGCTCCAGGCCGACCTCAGTTTCCTCGCCTGTAAACTGGGGGCAAGAGGAGCTCGCTGGTAGGAGGCCCGAGCCCCTCCAGACCCTTGTTCACCTTCGGACCTCCCCCATGTGCCCATTCCTCGCCCCTGCAGCCAAGCGCTGACCCCACAGTCAGCCTGGACACCGGCCAGAGAGGGAGGGTCATCCCCAGTCCTGGTCCGTCCATCCTGCTTGACCCTCCTCCTTCCCATTTCCTCCACAGCTGAACGTCCTGGTGACCAGCCCTGCCCATCCCCAAGCAGAAGGGGCCTGGAGGAGGAGGAGGAGATGGCCCCCGTGTTCCCGGCAGCCGGTGCCCACCAGGTGAGGGGGCCTTCCAGGGTGGCTCCGTGGCTCTCCCGTGGCCCTTACTAGGCTCCTGGGGACAGCCATGGAGGCCTGTGTCCAGAGCAGGAAGGGCCCCACAAGGTCACTTGGTTGGAAGGAAGAAGACCTGGAGACATTGGAGAGGAAGGCCTGGGCTGGGCCTCTAGCTTGGGCTCTGTGTCCACTGTGCCCCTGGCCGCCAAGGTGATGCCCTCTCTATGACTCACACTCCATGTCCCCTCCTTTGCAGGGCCCCGCGGGTTCAGGACTGGGCTACAGTCTGAGCCCCACAAAGGGAGCCTTGGGAGATGGGGAGTCCTTCTTTTGGTGGGTGTGGTCCTTAGGGGGCTGCAGGGACCCTGACCCTGTGTCAAGCAGGGCCCCCTGATGGAGGGTACCTCCAAAGAGCTCCCAACATTGATTCTGGGGGAGGACTTTCCTGGCAGATACTTCCAGGAAATGCCAGAGACCATCCCTGTCTGTGGGCCCCTTGGGCTTGGGGCTATTGTTATCCCCCTTTTAAAGATGAGGAAACTGAGGCTCAGAGGTAACATGCCTGCCCAGGCACAGGTAATGAGAACAGGGGGGAGAAGGAATGCTTGATGGCCTGCCTGGGTGGGGAAGGGGGGAGCCCCAAGGCAGGACACAGGCCGGGGCAGCTGCTCCTCTGCCTTGGGGCAGGACCCCTCAGGAGGCACCTCCTGGGAACCCCAAGAGTCCTGAGCTTTGGTGCCCTCCCTCTGTTCTGGCCATCTGCACCTGTCCTCCTTGGCCTGAGAGAGTGGAAGGTCCCAGTGGGTCAGAGGCATGCCTGGAATCCAGATCCAGGAATCAGCCCAGCGGGAAGGGTCGTCCACCTGTCCAGCTCCCTTCCTGAGCAGCCACGTGTCCTGGGTCTTGTAGGGCTCTGTGACATTCGGGGACGTGGCCGTGGACTTCTCCCAGGATGAGTGGGGGCACCTGGACCCTGCTCAGAAGGAGCTGTACCGTGAGGTGATGCTGGAGAACTATGGGAACCTGGTGTGCCTGGGTAAGGAGGCTCCCCTGGGATGCGGCCTCTGCTCCCACAGGGCTGGGCTTCCACCCTGAGTCCGTGCCATGGGGGGCTGGAGGAGTGGGCAGAGGAGCCCACAGGTCCTTCCTCCCTGGGTGGCCTCAGGGCCTCAGACAGCTGGGCACCCTGAGCTCAGGTCTCTGTCCCCTGCTCAGGCCCCACAGACCCAAGAATCTTCCTCCAGTTCCAGGGCAGTTGAACCACCTGAAGCCTTGAATGACTCCCAGGCTTTGAATGGGGCCCAGGCCCCAAGAATGAGATGTCTCTCTGAGTCCAAGGCCAGCCCAGACCCGTGGACGGGGTCCTGCCAGGTGCTGGGCCTGCCCCCTGCCGGGGCCTGGCACAAACTAACTCTGCTGAAGCGTTGAAGCCGTCAGTGCCCACCTGTCTTGAGAGGGGCCTGGGGATGGGCGGCTGAGGTCTTCTCTGGCCCCAGCCCTTTCCATTTCCCCTGAGCAGGACTTGCAGTTTCCAAACCTCATGTGATCGAGCAGTTGGAGCGAGGGGAAGTGCCTTGGCTGCCACGGGGAGCTGTCCCAAGGAGCTGTGGTCCAGGTGAGTGAGCCCCCCCCCCCAGCAGCTGCTGGGCGGCCAGCTCTTCTTAGGCCTACAGCTGACCTCATGGAGTCTCCCATCCATCCTGGGAGGTCGGTGCTACAGGGGTTATTATCTCCATTTCACAGATGAGGAAATGGAGGCAAACAGATTAAGTACCTTGCCCTGGGTCACACAGGTAGTAAGTGTCTGAAAGTGAATTTGAACTTAGGTCTTCTTGACTCCAGGTCTGGCACTCTGTCCATTGAGCCACTGACCTGCCTTCACTGTGAGTTCTTCCCTTCTCTGTCTGGAGGTGGGTAGCACATTTCATCATAAATCCTCTGGAATTGTGGCTGGTTATTTTTATTAATCTCATCTGCTAAGTCTTTCAAAGTTTCTTGTTTTTAAAGTATTGTGTTATTGTATCAATGGTTCTCTGGTTCTGCTCGGTTCACTTTGCATCAGTGCATATGCTTTTTCCCAGGGTTCTCTAACTCTTCATTTCATTTTTTGCAGTGCAATAGTATTTCATCACATATATATAAAGTGAGTAACATAATAACCATTCCCCACTTGACGGACATCCCCTTGGTTTCCAGTTTTGCACATATAGGTCCTTTCCCTTTTTCTTTCTTCTCTTTGGATTATAGACCTAGTAGCGGTACTACCAGATCAAAGGGTATATGCATTTTAATACCTTTTGAGGTCTAGTTCCAAATTGCTTTTCAGAATGACTGGACCAGTTCACATTTCTCCAAATAGTGCATTCATATATCTTTTCCCACTGCTCTCTAGCTTTCTGGCCAGCGTTGCCAATCTGATCCATGTGATGTAGAACCTCAGGGTTGATTTAATTTGCTTTTGTAAGTGTTTTATAGCTTTTGTAATATATCAATAGCTTGAATTTCTTCCTCTGAAACCTACCTATTCCCATCCATTTGGAGAATGGCTCATTTAGACGTGACTCAGTTCCTTTTATATCAGAAATTAGACTTTAATCAAAGAACCTGGTTGCAAAGATTCCCCCCCCCCCACCTTGTGTGCTCCTCTTCTAATTTTAGCTGAATTGATTGTACTTGTGCACAAATGTGAAACTTTCCATTTTCCTCCTGTGGTCCCCTCTGTCTCCTGTGAGGTTGGGAACTTTTCTCTCATCCACATCTATGACAGCTAATCCTTTGGTGCTCCTTCAGTTTCTTTGTGATGTTGCAGCGTTTGAGTCATGTACTCGTTTGGAATGCATCTTGGCATGTGGTGTGATGTGTTGGTCTATACCTAATTTTGCCAGCCCACTTTCCAGTTTTTCCCACAGTTTTTGTCAAAAGTGACTTCTTGCCCAGTCGTTGAGCCGTGTCTGACCCTTCCTGACTCCTTGGACCATAATACACCAGCTTCTTCTGTCCTTCATTATCCACCAAAGTCTGTCATTTCCATGACACTGTCTCTCTATCTTGTCCTCTGCCATCCCTTTCTTCTTTTACCTTCAGTCTTTACCAACACCAGGGTCTTTTGTTTCTGTTTTGTTTTGTTTTTTCCTAGTTTCTTTTTTTAATAATATTTTCCCCAATTGCATATAAAAACAATTTTCAGTGTTCATTTTCAAAAATTTTGCGTACGACATTCTCTCCCTCACTCCTCACCCATCTCCCTGAGATGGTAAGCAATTTTATATAGATTATACATGGGCAGTAATGCAAAACATATTTCCATGTTGTTGTGAAAGAAAACACAGAACCAAACAAATAAACAAGAAAAAAATTGAAAAATAGTATGCTTTGAGCTGCATTCAGACTCAACAGTTCTTTCTTTGGAAGTGGATAGCATTTTTCTTTGTAAGTGTTTCAGAGTGGTCTTGGATCATTGAATTGCTGAGAAGAGCTAAGTCATTCACAGCCGATCATTGTACAGCATTGCCTTTACGGTACTCAGTGTTCTGGTTCTGCTCACTTCACTTTGCATAATTTGTGTAAGTCCAGGTTTTTCCGAAACCTTCCTGCTCATCGTTTCTGATAACATTGTAATATTCCATCATGTTCACACACCACGACTTGTTCAGCCATTCCCTAGTTGATGGGCGTCGCTTCAGTTTCTGATTCTTTGCCACCACAGAAAGAGCTGCTATAAATATTTTTGGACATGTGGGTCCTTTTCTCCTTTTTTGGATCTTTATGGGATCTAGACCTAAGACTTAGTGATGGGATTGCAGGGTCAAAGGGTGTGCACGATTTTATAGCCCTTTGGGCGTAGTTCCAAATCACTCTCCAGAATGGCTGGACCACTTTGCGGCTTTACCAACAACACATCAGTGTCCCAGCTTTCCCCACATTACCTCCAGCATTTGTCATTTTCCTTTTCTGCCATATTAGCCAATCTGATGGGGTTGAGGGGGTTTGTTTTGATTTGCATTTCTCTAATCAATAGTGATTCAGATCCTTTTTTCGTATGACTGCAGGTAGCTTTGATTTCTTCATCCATCAGAGTCTTTTCCAGTAAGTCTTGTCTTCTCATTAGGTGGCCACAGTTTTTAAGCTTCAGCTTCAGTATTTGTTTTTACAGTGCATGGTCTGAATTGATTAAGCTGTTAATTAATTAAGTATTGACTGATCTGACGTCCTTCCTGTCCAAGGACTCAGAAGTCTTCTCAAGCGTAGGTTCTGTGGCTCTCAGCTTTCCTTATAGTCTCGCTCTCACAGCCATACACTGCTACTGGAAAAACCATAGCTTTCACTCTCCAGACATTGGTTGGCAAGATGTGTGTGTCCAAATTTGCCATGTATTTCCTTCCAAGGAGCAAGCGTCTTTTAATTTCATGGCTCCACTCACAATCTGCAGTAATCTTTGAGCCCAAGAATAGAAAATCTGCTTCCATTTCTTCTCCCTCTTTTTACCGGGAATTTATGGAATCAATTGCCAAAGTCTTAGGGTTTAGTGTGTGTGTGTTATGCTTCAAGTCAGCTTTTACGCTCTCCTTTTTAACCCTCCTCAAGAGGCTTCTTAACTCCTTTTCCCTTTCTGCCACAAGCGATATCATCTGCATTATTTCTCCCAGCAACCTTAATCCAGCTTTTTTTTTGTCTGTTTCTTGGTGAGGCAGTGGAGTTACCTGACTTGCCCAGGGTCACAAAGCTAGTAAGTGTCAAGTGTCTGAGGCCAGCTTTGAACTCGGGTCCTCCTGACTGCAAGGCTGGAGCTCTGTCTGCTGCACCACCTCGCTGCCCTTAATCCCAGCTCTTTGATTCCTCCAGCCTGGCGTTTCACTTGAGGAACTCTGCATCTAAGTTAAACAAACCAGGTGACAATACACAGCCTTGTTGTGCTCCTTTCCTGATCGTCAGCCAGTCGGTTGTTCTGCATTTGGTTCTAGCTGTTGCTCCTTGAGCTGCTGCAGGCGTCTCAGGAGACAAGCCCGAGGTCTCCCATCTCTTTGGGCCTTGCCATGGGTTGTTGGGAGGCTTTAGCAGAGGCAGCGGAGCAGCAGCCGACGTGAACATGCATGCGGCTGGTGAGCTGTGGCCCAGAGCTCTTCCTAGCTCCTCAGTAGAGTGATCTGGTCCAGAGAAGGCTGAAGTGCTGCAGGTGTCTGGGTGAAGCCCGTAGGGTTCTGCTTAGCTTCACTGCAGCGTCTTTCATTTCCGGATACTTCCGCTAGTCACTAACCCTAATTGTGCTTGTGCATATTTCCCAGAGTCTTCTCTGGTGGCTGTCTGCTCACCCATCAGGCACAGGGCCCTTTTGGAGAACACATCCTGGCACAGCCTGTGACATCCGCCTCGGCGGGCTCTGTGACCTCCTTGGCCATCTCCCCCACAGCATCATCTGGGCTGGGGAAGGGAGGAAGGAGAAAAGATGGAGGAAGGATGGGGATGGGAGAAGAGAAGAGGGGAGGGGAGGGAAGGGGAGAAGGGAAGAGTCTGACGAGGAGATAAGGGCTTTCTAGTGTTTTTAACAGGAATATGTGAGTATCTTGTCAAAGGCTTTTTTTTGCACATGTAAAAATAATCATATGATTTTTGTTGTTTCTGTTATTGATATGATCAGTTATGTTAATGGTTTTCCTAATATTGAGCCAGTCCTGGATTCCTGGTATAAATGCAGCCTGATGATAGTGTTAATCTTTGTGATATGTTGCTACAGCCTCCTTGCTAATATTTTCTTTAAATTTTTGCATCAATGTTCATTAAGGATATCAGTCTCTGAGTCTTATTTCTTTGTTTTAACTCTTCCTGGTATCAGGGTATTAAGACCATATTTGTGCCATAGAAGGAATTTGGTAGGATCCATTCTTTACCCATTTCTTTTTCAGATACTTTATATAGTATTAAAATTAATTTTTCTGTAATGTTTTACAGAATTCATTTATAAATCCATCTGGTCTTGAACTTCCTTCTTGAGCATTCATTTTTAGCTTATTCAGTTTCTTTTTTCTAAGATCAGGTTGTTTGAATCCTCTATTTTCTGTTACTCTGGTCAATTTATAATTCTGCAAATATTTATGCATTTCCTGTAGATTATCAGTTTTGTTGGCACGTAATTGGGAGAAATAGCTCTAAATAATTTCTTTTGTTTGTTCTTCATTGATTGTGAATTTACCTTTTTCATTTTTGGTACTAATAATTCGGTTATCTTAATTTTTAAAAAATCAAGTTAGCTAATAGTTTATCTGATTTATTGGATTAAAAAAAATCCAGCTCCTAGTTTTATTTACTAAATTAGCACTTCCACACTTCTCTCCTTTTCTTTTTTCTCTCCATGTCTTAGGATTTTATTGTAATGTTTTTTGATGGTTTTTTTTCCCAGTGTATATGTTTTGATTCTGCTATTTCACTTGACTTTGCTACATACAGGTCTTAACCACAGTGCAGATTCTTTATTTTCTTAGGAAATTCCACTTATGGAGGTATGAAATAAGACTCCTTTATCCTGGTTTGTTCAGATCTAACCCATTTGTGGGAACCCTGGCTTGTCTTTGAGCCTTTTGTTATCCCATAGAAGCCGTTCTGAGTATTTTGATTGATAGAGGTGCTTGCTTCTTTCCGATGACAACCCAAGGGCCACGGGCTGGTTATTCTTGCTTTATATTTCTGAATTGATTTCCAGTACTGTGGTGCCAATTCTCAGCTCTGTTTTCCCCACTTGTTTTTCAAGAATATCTTTTTGTTAATGTCTCTTATTTTGAGATCACCTACATTTCCTCTGAATCTGTCTTTACCACTTCTGGAGGCTAATCTTTCAATGCAAAGAATTATAAAAGAAGAAAACAAACAGTTCAGCAAAACTCATATTGAAAAAGACTAATGTTCTATGCAGGAACTCACTTTTGTTCGCACCCCTGCGGAAAAGCAGCAGGAGCTTATTTTCTCATCCCTTCTTTGGGACCAGCTTTGGCAGGCCTGGATTGTTTTGCATTGTCAGTCCTTTCATTTCTTCTGTTCACCTGTGCATCCATTTGTAGAACACTTTCCATGTGTCTTCATCACATGTATTGTTTCTTCTTGCACAATAGTATTCCATTACATTCATGGGCTCTGATGTCTTCAGCCACTCCCTGCCTGACGCAGCTATTGCAGCATCGCAGCATTGTCCAGGGTGTCAGTGGCCCGTCCCAGCTTCGCATCCTCTGTGAATTTGGTTTTATCTGCCGATCATCTCTGGAGTGATTCTTCCTAGCCTTTTCCAGGTGCTCAGCGGTGTACTCCAGTGACAAAATCACTTCCCTTTCTCCCTGCTTTGCCTTCACCTATCACTTCTATCCTGCTTCTCCCCTCTGGTCCTAGATTTCTTCATAGAATTGGAGCTCATTAGTAGACTATACCACTCCCTCCTCCACTGCCAGTGAGGTCAGATTTGACTCCTTTGGTGGATGCTGAAAGCTGAGGATCCAGAGCCAATCAAACAAGACATCCCTACCCTGAAGGAGCTGGAGGAAAACAAAGGCAATGGGGAGTTGGGAAGTCAGGGGAGGGGCCCAGGTGCTGAGGAGGAGGTAAGCTTTTGTCTGCTGCCCAGCCATAGGCTTTTGTGGTTCTGGGTATCTCGGCTAGCCATACTCTCTTCTTTGCTGTGGCCACTCCCCATTGTATTTAAGGGAATTGAGGGCATTAAGATACCAGGTGGTGACGTGATTTTCTTCTCAGTTCTGTCCATGTCCTCTCTTTCTAGTAAAATCCTTGACACTGAGCTGAAAGTGGCCTCCCTCTAGTTTCCACATGTTTGCTCCCATTTTTCCTGTTAGAACCCCACAGAATGAAAACACCCTCTTTCATGGCGAGGCATCTGGGATGATAAAAGCAGCATTGGGCCTAGACTTGTTTGGAGTCGGACACTCGAATACTTGGTAGGGTGATTTGGGGCAAATTCATGAAATCAGTGCAATTCATTCCATTTCATCATCTAGCCCAATAATTTTGTTGTAATTTTATCCCATGTAATAATGTTAATAGTTTATATTTCCATAGCCCCATAAGCTTGGGGATGCACTTTCCTCACAACCATCACCACAGTACAAGCATGTACCACACTAGTGGGCTTTTCTTTTCTACTTGAAGTGTGGCAGTCATTATTATTGATGGAGGATGGAGGCCATTGCAGGAACACCCTTTCACTCCGTTGTAACACCACTAGACACATACACCACAGAGCTCAATGGCAACACCTCTTGTTGTGGCCGGGTACTAGAAACAAAGTTTGGGGTCCATCGGTTGGAATGTGGTGACTTCACAGAAGCTTCAGAAGACTTTTATTAAGTTACACAGAGTAAAAGGGACAGACCTCAGGTTGTCTGGTGATAGAGTGAGTACAGTATTGTAAAGAAAAATACTTTGAAAGACTTGGGTATCCTGAGTAATTCATTGACCAGTCATAACTCAGTACTTACCAGGTTTACTGTAATGGGGATTCCTTTGGTGTCTGGATGGCTTAGACTAGATGGCCAATAAGGCCTTTGTATTTTGTTTTATTTTAATACATTTTAGTTAAATTGTTATATCAACAGAGTTGCATAATATATTAAATTAAACATTTCAGTTTGTCTGTAATTTATGATAAAGGAGGAAGAGGGGGAAGGCTCAGCAAAACTAACCAACGTATAAAAAAAAGTCTTACTTTCTGTTGTCTGCCACACCCTTGGCCCGCTCCTCTGCCAAGAGCACATTGGGAGGGAGGGACGCTTGTAATTTGTGAAGACTTTTGATGAATCATGTTTCCCACCTCTTAGCAGAGAAGGGACTAGAGTTGTTTATAAGATATGGGAAGTCTGTGGATTTGGTTCGCTTAACTTATTTGTTATACATGGGCTGACTGTTGCGCATATTTTTTGCAGGGAAGATTTGTAGGGATATTGGGGATGGACATATAGTAATGCCAGAAAGAAAGAAAGAAATGAGCATCAATTAAAATACTCATAATACACAAAGCGAGTAGAACTTTCAGAAGGAGACACAGAGGAGGGGAGTGTTAATAAAGACTACCATGTTAAATTTCAGATATACTTTAAATGAACAAGCTATGCATAATACTTTCATATGAAATCTTTCTCTGGGTTGGGGACCTTTTGGGTATATGGAGATGTTCCTATTGATGTTTGTCAAGCTAATAATGAAACTTTAAAAAATTGGTAAGAGAGCCGCAAGAAAACAAGGGATCTATACAACTTTCATTTCTTTCAGGTTGGGAGGCTGAGCCTGAAGTCAAAGAGGCAGCTCTAAAGTGTGGCCTTTCTAGGGAAAAATTGTCTGAGGAAATGCTCGTGAAAGTTGGTGATTGTGTCTTCCAGTTAAGAGAAACCTGCAGATTTGTAGCCAGATCAGAAAAGCAGCAGAGCAATGAGGAGAATCCTTTTCAGCCCACAACATTCACCCAGAAGGAGCCTCCCTATGGAGAGCAAGACTTTGAATACCATAACAGTGGTGGAAGCTCCAGTCTAGGGCCGAGCCTTTTCCCACAGCCCGGACGTGTAAGTGTGAAGACTCTGTGTGAATGTGCCACAAATCAAAGGCACTTTACTGCATGTTCAGATCTTCCAAAAAGTAATAGAACTTGCTCAGAGGAGGAATTGTCTAATTATCATGAATCCAGAGATGCCTTTAATTATGATTCAGACATTAATGGAAATAGATTACATTCTAAAGGGAAACCTCATGAATATAATGAATGTGGGAAGGCCTTCCACCTGACCTCACAGTTTATACAACACCAAAAATTTCCTACTGAACAGGGATCCTGTGCACGAAGGAACATGTTGAGCTCGTCCAGAAACTTTACTGCCCATCAGAGAATTCACATTGGAGAGACACCATATGAATGTAAGGAATGTGGGAAGACATTCGGTCAGAGTAGAAACCTTACTCTCCATAGGAGAATCCACACTAGAGAGAAACCTTATGAATGTAAGGACTGTGGGAAGTTCTTCCGACAGAAGGCACATCTTATTGTACATCAGAGGAGTCATACTGGAGAGAAACCTTATGAATGTAATGAATGTGGGAAGTTCTTCCAACAAAAGGCACATCTTATTGTACATGAGAGGAGTCACACTGGAGAGAAACCATACGAATGTAAGGAATGTGGGAAGTTCTTCCGACAAAAGGCACACATTATTGTACATCGTAGGAGTCATACTGGAGAGAAACCTTATGAATGTAATGAATGTGGGAAGTTCTTCCGCCGGGGTACACATCTTGTTCTCCATCAAAGAATTCACACTGGAGAAAAACCATATAAATGTAAAGAATGTGGGAAGGTCTTTAGCCAAAGCAATACACTTAGCCTTCATCAGAGAATTCACACTGGAGAGAAGCCATATGAATGTAATGAATGTGGGAAGGACTTCAGTGACTGGTCAAACCTTATTCAGCATCAGAGAATTCATACTGGAGAGAAACCTTATTACTGTCATGAATGTGAGAAGGCCTTCAGTCACAGTGGAGATCTTACTCTGCATCAGAGAATTCACACTGGAGAGAAACCATATGTTTGTAGTGAATGTGGGAAGACTTTTCGCCAGAGTTCAGCCCTCACTCAACATCAAAGAATTCATAGTGGAGAGAAACCTTACGAATGTAATGAATGTGAGAAAGCCTTCAGCCGGAGTAGAGACCTTACACTTCATCAGAGAATTCACACTGGAGAAAAACCATATGAATGTAGTGAATGTGGGAAGTTTTTCCGCCAGAGCGCACACCTTATTCGACATCAGAGAATTCATACTGGAGAAAAACCCTATGAGTGTATTGAATGTGGGAAGGCCTTCTGCCAGAGTTCATACCTTACTAGACATCAGGTAACTCATACAAGGGAGAAATCTTATCAATGAAATGAATGTGAGAAGGCTTTTAGCTACAGCCAAAATCTTATCCTCCATCAGACAATCCACTTTGAAGAGAAATCATATGAACGTAACAAATATGGGAAGTTTGTCAGAGTACACACTTTGTTCAACATTACAGATTTCATGCTGGAGAGAAAACATATGAATGTACTGAATATAGGAAGACCTGTCCAAGCTGAGGCCTTATTCAATACCACAGAATGGATACTAGGCAGAAACTCTATAAAAGTAATAACTGTGGGAAGACATTCCTGCCTGAGATGAGAACGTATTCATTCAACCATATATTCATTTTAGTGAAAACCTTATGAATGTAATGAATGAGTGAATGTGTTCTGTCAGAATATATACCTTTCCATCAGAAAGTTTACACTAAAATTTACACTTTACCTTATAAAGGTAATGGATGTAGGAATGCCTTTTGACTGCTAACACGTCTTACTCACCATCAGAGACAGGAATGTAACTGAACATTTTAGATCATGACATGTTTAGTTGAGTACAAATAAAGTTTGAAATCCTCAACTTTAGCCAGACATTGTGATCCTGCTTTTCAGGAAAGGGAACATGGGGAGAGGATTAGGCTCAGGGACCTTGTCAGTTCATACAGAGTGAGAAGCATGAGGGACCTCAGCAGCTGTGGACCCCAGCCCACTCACAGAAGGAGCCCTGTTGATAATGGTTGTCCTGTCTTCTGCGTGAAGATCTCCAGGGAGGATGAAAGCACATGTTCCAGTGACACAGACACCACAAAGACCTTCCATCATCCCGCTGGCCTCCTCTGGACACACCAGTGATCATTGTTCTTCAACAGTGATGTCCAGAACTGAACAGAGTACTTCTCAGATAAGATCTGATGGCTGTGGGTTAGTAGGACACCATCATCTCCCTGTTCTTGGGAACTGTACTCTTATTGGAAGGAAATGAGTATTTATTAAGTGCCTCCTATTTTCCAGGCACAGTGCTAAGCACTTTACAAATATCTCATTTGGTTCTCAACAAATCGGGGTAGTAGGTGCTATTAATTATTCCCATTTGACTGTTGAGGAAACTGAGGCAGACAGGTTAAGGCGACTTGCCCAGGGTTACACAGCTAGGAAGTGTCTGAGGCTGGATTTGAACTCAGGTCTTCCTGACTCCAGACTCCCAGTTCTATTCACTGTGCAACCTAAGTGCCTCTTGCTCAGTTGTTCAGTCAGGCACCTAGTTGTCTGTGGGGTTTTCTTGGTGAAGGTACTGGAATGGCTTGCCATTTCCTTCTCCAGCAGTTCCTTTTGTCAGGCAAACAGAGGGTAAGTGACTTGCCCAGGGTCACACAGTTAAGAAGTGTCTGAGGCTGGATTTGAACTCAGGTCTTCCTGACACTAGGCTCAGCACTCTGTCCACTGAGCCACCCACTGCCTCTCACTGCCTCTTATTGCAGCCCAAGTTCACATTAGTTTTTTTGATTGTCCGTCACACCGCTGACTCAATGGGCTTGTGCACTAAAACCCCAAGTCTTTTCCAAAACGATTGCTCCCTATCCATTCTTTTCTGTCTTACACTTATAACATTGATTTTTTTGTACTCAGGAACAAGGCTCTACATTTACCTCTACTGAATCTCATCTTAATGGATTTAGTCTAATTTTGAACCTGTCAGGATCCATTTGGGTTCTGTTTCTGTCATCCATTGTGTTGGCTATCCCAGCTTTGCATCATCTACAAATTTAATGAGTATACCAACAGCACAAGGTCACACATATCCCTAGAGTACTTTACTGGAAAACCTCTGGCATTTCAGTGCTAAGCCATTAACAACTGTCCCTGAGTCTAGCCTGTGTGGTCATCCGATCCATCTTCTCCATGAATCCAGAGTCTGGCACAGTCATTGCTCAGTAAAGGATTCCTGACTTAACTCAACAGAAAAGCAGACACTTTGCTAACTTTTGCCAAAAGCTAGGGCCACAGCATTCCTGGCATCTACTGGGTTAGCAATCCCATCAGAGAAGGAAATGACCTGTTCTTGATGCTGCTAAGCAGCCTTTTTGTAATCACTAGGTCCCATTCTAAGGGTTCAAAGTCAGTCTCTTTGCCTATATAGACTACTCTTCCCTTTTTTGAAGGCCAAGACAGCATTCACTGTTTTCCAATTTTGGGGTACCTCTCCTGTCTTCTGTGATCTTTCTAACATCACTGACAGTGGCTCAGGAGTTAGGTCTGCCAGTTCTTCATGGACCCTTCAAGGATGTAGTTCTTTTGAACATTTTTGTTTTATCATTTCCATTGCAAGGGTCTTCCTTCGTAGAGAAAACATAAGAGAAACAAGACTTGAGTAACTCTTCATTCTGGGTCCCAAAGTAACAACATCCCATCCACTCCAAGCAAAGTTCTGACCCTTTCCTTAATGTTTTTTTTTCTCCAAATGTCACTTGTCCTTAGCTTCCTTCACTAGCCTCAGCTCATTCTGAGCTTTGGGATTCCTGATACTCTTTTCTCAGATCTTTGCCACTGTATTCATTCTGTTATCTGGCCTTGCTTGTATCTTACATTTCTTTTTACAACATAAGTTGGTCAGTGAGTCCCCTTAGCATTCACATGTCCCATTGCATCATCTCATTGGGATGGTTTCATTGTGCACCTTTGGAACTTCAGTCTTGAGTATTTCCCTTCTATCTTGGGCTGATTTTGTTTGAAGCATTTTACTCCCAGGAATCCTCCCTAGGATTCCTTTGAACTCTTTAAAACCTGCTTTCCCAAAATCTAGGACACCTTTCTGAGAATGCCCATATTTCCTCTACTTTATTACAGACTTTCAAATGAAGTGATCAGTAAGTCTCTCCCATAGTTTTTACCTGTTTCTCCCTCTTTGTGAGGAGGAGATTGAGAATAGAATTTGCCCTTGTGGGTTCCTCCATCTTTTGAAGGATGAAATCATTAAAGCAAGTCAAGGAGTCATCAGCTTCCCAGCTTTTGTCAGAGAGAAAGAGAGAGAGAGAGAATGAGAGTGCTCTAACAGGTGGTCTGGACTATTATCATAGAGGGCTGAGTAGGGAGTATTGATAAAAGTTCCCCCCAGAAGCAATATTTTTAGATAGAAAAAATTAATTCAGGAAAAGAGAAAAATAGCAATTTTTTAAAACTAAATCCCTTTTAAAAAATGTACATTATAAAAGTTAAGAGTTTCAGACTTTTAAAGTGATTCAGAAATTAAGTGGACTATTATGAGAAATTTGTGGTCTTGTTAGAACAAAAACCAATTTTTAATCTTCCCCCCAAAAGTTGATAGTTCCTGTCATTATAATCTTTTTTTTTTGTTTGTATTTTGAAATGGTTTTTTTTTGGATGATTTAGTTCCTAATAAAAAAAAAAGTTTTAAAAAAACCATCCTGTTTCTTTTGAATAGTGCACACCTGGCCCAATCATGAATTTCATCTCAGTGTTACTGGTGACGTTGTTTGCCTCCTTGCATTAAAGGTCTTACGGTTCATCAGCTAAATTTTTTTTATAGCTTCTCAGCCTTTCCTTTCCCATGTCTGAACGATAGCTCCACCACACGTCCTAGCTGCTTCATGGGTGCATCCCACCAACCAGTCCATTCTGTGACCTCATTTTCTCCAATTACTTTATATACCCTGCTTTGTCTCACCAGCTTCCTTATCTTTCCCTTTCTACCCTTCACATTCTCCTCCATAGTCTTCCTTTACCTGCTTTAATCCTTTATTTTCACTGATCTTTTTTTTTTTCAACCAGAAGTAAAATGTGGAACATTATCTGGGCCTAGAGATTTTTCTCTGTCAAAGCTTCTACAAATTCTCTCAAATTTTGCCACTTTTTTCTCCCCAAGTTCATCCCCTAATCTACTTCACTTTCCCCAATCCATCCCAGTCCCTTTTATGGTTTGCTTCTTATTCAGCTCAACACTTTTATCACTTGATCCTTCCAGTTAAGACAGTGGAGTGGACTGAAGCAGAATAGACCCAAGTCTCACACATGTATTTCAACAAAGTTTTTTTTTTAAAGAGCACCAGACCAAATAATAGTTAAAAACAAAGATACTATAGTAAATACCTTGAGCCCAAGTTGACACAAAGAAACATCCAGAAACCTGCTAGGACTAAGGTGTTCTGGCAAACTCAATCCAACCCAATAAACATATTAAATACCTACAATGTGCCAGGTGGGATACATAGATGGCTAGATGGCACAGTGGACAGAGAACCATGCTTGGACTCCAGAAGACCTGAGTTCAGATCCAGCCTCAGATACTAGCTGTGGGACCCTGGGCAAGTCACTTAACTCCGTTACCTCAATTTTCTCAAATGTAAAATGAGCTGGAGAAGGAAATGGCAAATCACTCCAGTATCTTTGCCAAGAAAACCCCAATTGGTGTCATGAAAAGTCAGACGTGACTGAACAGTAATAACAAATGTGCAACACACCGTGCTGAACATTGGTGATATAACTGACCAAAATGACAGTTTCTGTCCTCAAGGAGTTTCCAGTCTAGTGGAGAAGGCAACACAAAAAGCAGGATAGTGTTGGGATGCTAAGGGGTACCCAGCATGGGGACATCTTGTTCCATGGAACTGAAGCCAGGCAAGGCAGCAGAGGCAGAGTCCAGGTTCTGCCCTTTAAGGAAGAGGAGGCTGAAGGAGGTGGTGTCAATCCAGGCTTGTGTTAGCAGCAAGATGGGATTAGAAGTGATGAACTTCTTCTAGGAAGGGCATCTTGTTCCACAGGGAAGCGGGTGCTACAAGTTGAGATGAGTGTTCTGCTTGTAGGTGGAACCCCCAGAGTTATTCCAGGGACACTGGGAGCCTGCAGCAATGCTGTGTACTAGGAAGGGGATAATTAGTAAACCTGGATTGGTGAGCTACTACACTAATTGAAGAGTTTTAAAAGCCAAACAGAAGATTTTCTATTTGATCCTGGAGATAATAGCCACCATTGAGTTGGGACTGACATGATGAGACCTACATTTTAGGAAGATCACTTTGATAGCTGAGTGGAGGATGTCCTGGAGTAAGGAGAGACTGAGGTAGGGAGACCAACCAGAAGACTGTCACAGTAGCCCAGTATGAGAGGATGAGGTTCTGCACTAGAGCAGCGGCAGTGCCAGAGGACAGGAGGGCACATACAAGAGATGGCACGAAGGTGGAACTGACAAAATGTGGCAACTCATTGATTGGATGTGTAGCTTGAGAGAATGAGAAGCCAAGGACAGCACGTAGGCTGATAGCCCAGGGGACTCAGAGCATGGTGGCTCCCAAAACAGTAACAGGGAATTTAAGAAGAGGGAAGGGTTTTGAGGGAAAGATAAAGAGTTCGGTTTTGGACATGCTGAGTTGAAGATATCTGAGACAACTAGTTTGAGAAGCATAATAGATACACCGATATGAGCTAACCCTGATGGAAATGCAGTCTACCACTCTGTACTTGAGAAGCATACAGGTGGGCCTGCCACTTTGCACTTTGTATGAGGGGCATTGGCAGGACCCTAGATAATACACATCAGGATTGAATGGGCCCACCACCCTATCCAAGAATATAGGAGCCTGGCTCTGACCAAAAAGGGTTCCAATATCAGAAGCAAGGCTAGAAAAATGAGTTAACAAAAGACGCTAACAATAAAAAAATTTTATGAAATCAGGCATCCAGAACACTAGCCTAGAGAGAGTAACTCCACAGCAGTCACAGCTTTAGCTTTAGCTGAAGTATGGGTTGGCCAGAAAACTGGGAGTCCTGGAAGAGATGAAGCAGGAGATAAAAATAATACTCTAAATTAAACAAAAGCTCTTGTTTAAAGAGGAAAGACCTGGAAGGAGAACAAACAGCTTATTAAGGAGGTATAAAACCTTTTCTAGGTAATTGACTGTCTAAAAATGAAGACAGACCAACTAGAAATCATTGTTTCCATAGGAGATCAGGAAATTCTCAAAATTAAGACTGGAAAAAATGGAGGAAATGTAATGTTTTTCCTATCAAAAAATATTGGTCTTGAA